CCAACAATCAAGTTTTTGTTTTATGTTCTAGGGATTTTTTTTTTTTTTTAAAGACTCCATTAAATTACAGGTTGCCTAAAATGGGTAGGCTTGACACTCTGATAGATCCTCAAATAGCATTAAATCAGGAGACAGGAGAGTGCTGCTTTTGGCAGCCTTCTTTTGACTGGGTGGGCGTTTGTGGGTGGGAAGCTCTATGGTGTATTCCTTGATGGTAAAGGGGGATACTCTTTTCTTTATTTTTCTTTTTTCCTTTCCCTTCTTTCTTTTCTAATTTGGGAAGAATTGAAGTGAGGTTCCAGATAGAAGCAGATTTTTTTTTTTTCTTCTTTTTCTGGAAGCCCTGGGAATTGAACCTAGGGCCTCAAATATGCTAGGCATACTCTCTACCACTGAGCTGTACTTGCACCCCCGATGAGTTCAGTAAGTGGTTTGAGCTATTGCAGTTCTCCGGCACACTGATCTCATTGTCTGTTTAGGATCAGCAGACAAACCTGCTGACACTGTAGACCCAGCTGCCTCGGTGTGTTCTTCTCTAGTAAGGTTAATGTATCCTGAGCCACCTTTCCCTTTCTCCCTTGGCTGGTTCTGCAACTGGGACTAGGAAGGAGGGATCCCAGCCTGCACAACAGGTTTGCAGAGTGTCCCCCAGTGAGCATCCTGAAGGAGCGCTCTCAACACCTGTGAATGCCAGGATCCATGCTCTCAAACTTGTCCCTTTCCGTGTGCCAGTCACTGCATTGAATCCCTTTAGGTGTGATCTCATTTATTTATTTGTATGGCTTTTCTGAGATGCCACGAATATATCATACAGTGTGCCCATTGAAAGGCGACAGACCTTTGGTTTGCAGTGTGTTCTTAGAGTCGCACAACCCACACTATTTTTGAGCACTTTCATCACCGAAGAGAGAAACTCCCTGTTAACCACCATTCCCTATTTCTCCCCCAGTGCAGCCACTACCCACAGCTCCTGGAAACCCCTTAACTGCCTTCTGGCTCCCATTTACCTCCTATCTAATTATACCCAAATACCCCAACCCCACCCACATCCCTGTTCCTCCCACCCCTGGATCAGATATTTTAGGTTCCAGACCAGTAAGAGCATGTGGGTTTGCCTTTCTGCATCTAGCTTATTTCATCTATGACTACACTCTGTAGCTTCATCCGAGTGGTTGCAGTGATAGGGCGAGCAGTATTGCATGGTGCAGATACTCATGGACTGTGACCCACTGTCAGTTAGTTGATAGACAGTGGTTGATGCCATGTGTCCGCTATCGTGAATGGCACTGCTGCAGCAAACCCCCGGAGGGCAGATGTCTCCTCAGTATCATTGTGATCTCATCCATTCCCCAGGTCAACTGTGAGTCAATGGTGGCTCAGTGTGGGTCTTCCAACGACTCTGACACAGCAAATGGGAGAGCTAGTAAGGGTCAATCTAGATGGCTCCTAGGTTTCTCTTCCCTGTACCTCTCCTACAGTCTTTCTTCTCCCACAGTGTTATTAAGTGATGCTACTGCTAAGGGTGGCAGAATTGTCCTACACCTGATCCTAACCAAAAGGCAGCGATGTGACTGAATTGTTTTAATTATTATCATTATAGGGAAATTGGCTCTGAAGGGTCCAGTGATCTCCCTTAATAAATTACTGGCCTGGCTGTGCCTAGAGCATAAGTGATGGGCGCGTGCCTCTCGTTCTTTGTCACTGAATACTGTAGCCCAGGGTGACCTCAAAGTTACGGTGTAGCCAAGGATGGCTTTAAATTCCCAGTACTCCTTTACTGTTTTCCAGGTGCTGGGGTTATAGGCATAAACAACCACATTTGGTTCAATCCAACTTGATATGTCTTGACTGATTGGGCACCTGGGCAGGAAAGAACTATTCACACATCCTGCTTTATATTGTGGATGTCAGTGATAACTCCAGCTAGAAGTAGGCTGGTGCATCTCTGAATGGCCCTGGGTTTCTCCAGAAGCTTCTTATCAGGTTTTGTGGATGAGAAAGAGGGTCGGCCTGGGGTCTGGCTAGACAGATAGTAATGTGCCTCCATCCTCAATGATCTTCGAAGGTACCTCTGTCTGGACAGGTCCCTAGTGGCCTGCCAGAGAGCTCTGAGTTACCCTAAACTCTAGTGAAGTACCCAGGCAGGGTATTTCTCTGCAGACTTGATAGAGGAATAGTGACTATAGAGGACTAAAAGTAGATCCTTATGGTGTTTTGATGAGCCTGCAGTGGTGGCCTGAGCATCCTCAAGGTAGATTGGTTTTTCTCTCTCTTTCCTCTATGTCTCTCTCTGTGTCTCTTTCAGTCTCTCTTACCCCCTCCTTCCTTTTCTTCCTCTCCCCTCCCTCCGTCTTTCCCTCTTGCTTGCCTGTACGTGTAGGTAGGGCGGAGGACATCCTAAGGATCCTCTGCCTGCCTTGTTGGAGACAGGATCTCTCATTGGTTGAGGCTAGACTGGCTGACCAAGAAAGCCCTGGGGATCTGCCTGTTTCTACCTCTTTAGTGCTACTATTACAAGCATATACCACCATGCCCTGAATTATTATGTGAGTTCTGAGGGGTCCAACTCCAGTCCTCCTGCTTGCTTGTTATCTTCCCAGTCCCCTTGGCCTTTGGCTTCCCCCCGACCCCCACTACATCTTTTGTAGTTCAGGCTAGTCTTGAATTTGCTAAGTAACCAAGGCTGGCCTTAACTCCAAGTGCTGGGATTATAATTGTGGGCTACCAGGACAGGCTCATTTGTTAATACTCAGTTATCTTGTTGGGTTGAAGACACCCCCAAGGGTTCAGACACAAGATAAGGGCTATGTGTCAAGAACCATGTCTAGATGTTGGTCGGCATGACTCAGATGTAGCTGCCAAAGGGCTGCCAAGAACCCTGCTACAGCTTAGCATTTCGTGGGAGCAAATGGCAGAGACGAGACCAAGCAGGTCCCAGATGCACCAATGCAGAGCAGCTGGTTGTGAGCTGGCAGCACATGCAAAACAGACTGTAGGGCTAGGGCGGGCTGGTAGGAAATTCATGGTGTAATTGTTGCCAGAACCTCTAATTTAGTCTTAAATTTTTTTAATGTAATGACTTTATTGTTTTCATTAAAGTGATACACGACCCTTATAAAAAAACAAAACAAAACAACATACCATAGAGGAGAGTACAAAGAAAAAAAACAATATATTGGTCCAAATTTTAGCTCGCAAAAGTAGCCCATGTTAATACGACAGCTTTCCATGTAACCTCTGTGCTCTCTTTCAGACAGAATTGATAGCTAGAGAAATATATAAATGGTTAATTTTTAGCAAGGTGTTGATTCTTATGCATGTAAGTTTCAAAATAAAAAAAAAAGCATTTTCCTTTAAGTATTGGAAGGGAGTGACTGAAGAAGTAACTCCAAACAAACAGGTAGATTTACAATAGCTATTTCTTTACTAGGAAAAAAAAAAAAAAGAAAGGTTTTCAGGTGTTTCTTAAGACTCTGATTCTTCACCAGTGGTGATTTTGCCTGCACAGGACATAATTTCATTTGTCATAACAAGGTGTTGGAGGCCTCTGGCATCTCTGTAGTGGGCAGAGGCCAGAGATGCTGCTTGTCATCCTGTGATGTACAAGGCAGCACCACAGCAGAGGTCCACACAGCCAGGGTACTGGGAGTGCCAAGGCTGAGAGACAGCAGAGAGGGTAGGAGAGATGGTTCATGGCGGCCATGAGGAAGGGGATAGCATGGGCTCGCTTGGCTGCAGTTTTTAGACACTTTTGGCTTAGCACCTGGAATGAAAGATGCAATGATTAATTTAATTCTGTTTTGTTCCTTTCTTCTCAAGCAACGAAAACAAGAGGTGGCATAATGCTATTTTTACCTTGTCAAGGTGCCTACCAACTGTATTCCGTTCTGTGACTGTGACCCCAGCTGGATGAGTCAATGACAAACAGGATATCCCCCCTCATGTTTTACTGGTGTCATCTCTTGGTGCTTCTGCTTCATCTCAGCCTATTAGTAATGTGTACGGGGAGGGAGGGGGCAGGCTGCATACCGGTTTGCCCTGGTCAGAACCACACCTACTCATTTGTGTCTTAGTACTGTACTCAGGAGGAGGAGATCCCTTGTCCTGCCTGTAGGACACCATGGGGCTGTGCAGTGGGGGCCCTTGGAGAAGTGTGATTGGACTTCAACAAGTTCAATACAGAGGAAAGATTATCAGTGTTGGACCTAAGGGCCTCTGGAGGGTCAGAACTGGAGCGGTGTGAGCACTAAGGACAGGCGACTTGACATAGCCCAGGAGTGGGATGAGTTCCATGCTGGCTCAAGTTCTCGGGGGAACCACCTGTTGCCTAGTGTACACATAGGCTGGAGTTAAACATCAGCTGGGTGGCTATATTTAGGTTATTTTCCAGCCTCGAGATTCTGATAGGCTGATACTGCTTCCCGATAGCCACCTGTCCTCAGGAGGGGTTTCAGTCACCTGCCTCCCTCCTTGTGCTGTGTGGGACAGGGAGAATAGATAGAGCCATGTTGTATGGGCAGGTGACCCAGGAGAGAGCCTTAAATGTCCTGGGTTTTGTTTGTTTGGCTTTTGGTTTTTTTGAGACAGAGTTTCTCTGTGTAGTCTTGGCTGTCCTGGAACTCACTCTGTAGACCAGGATGGCCTCCAACTCATAGAGATCCGCCTGCCTCTGCCTCCCGAGTGCTGGGATAAAAGGTGTGCACCACCACCTAGCATTTTCTGTGGTTTTCAGATTTGGACCCACCATGTACATAATACTGACTCTAAGGTGTAGGCGTTAGATTCTGTGAAACGAGTTCCTGTTTGTGTCTGTGGTCATCTGCAAGATTATAAGGGATAGGGCACATCTGAAACCGTTTCCAGGCTGTTGTCTGTCTGTGTCATATATATCAAAGGACCCTACAAAGGAAGATCGCATCTGCAGATTGTTCCCTGCATGGTTGGAATTGGGTGTTTGGCTCATCCCACTGTGACTGATTGCTGGCTTTGTTCTGTCATAGGGGAGCTATCCAGTTTGGGAAGATTTCATAAACAAAGCCGGAAAGCTGCAGTCCCAGCTGCGGTAAGTAGACAAATGAATTCCACAGGAAAAGGCGGTGTCCTTAGACAAGATAGAGGGAGGTGGATCAGCACACACGTCTTGGTTAAATTTAGAAGTGTCACAGATAGAGAAGTGTGTAGCAGACTCTGCTTAGAACAGTACCAATTCATAGTGTCCTACCCCCACCACCCCCTTAGTCCCATGTGAGAAATCAGGCTCCTTTCTGCTTTGTCTCCTGGGAATTTTCAGAGTTGAGTACATAGGGTAATGATGGATCATTTATGTGGCACCCGCTGTGTGCCAGGCATTATGTGAACTTGTCAAAAGTCTCAACCCTACAGGTGAAGCAGTTTTCGGCTGAGTTTTACTGATGAGGAGGCTGAGGCACAGGTGACAGTGTGTATGTACCTCCTAGAGATGCCGTCAGTAATCGATCAGGATGGAAACATGAGCAGTCTGGTTCCAGAGGCCAGGTTCTTTCTCGCCCATCTGTATGTTCTTCCCACATGCAGAGTTTCCGTCTCAATGTGGACCAGCACACAGTCCCGTTTACATGAAGTATCTAGAAAGATCCAGACAAGTCCTAGTGGTGGTCAGCTGGGCCAGGGGTGTAAAAGGAAACTGACCACAGATGGGTTGACAGGGGTCTTTTCTGAGATGGTGGGACTGTCCCAAAGCTGGGCTGTGATGATGGCTGCGTAATTCTACGTTTGCTAAAAGCCACGGACTCAGACACTTAGAAGTTCATTTTATGCCATGAAAGTTATGCCATGAAAAGCTGCTCAAAAAACCGATCTTAAGAATCCCGTGTTGCCCAGTGTGCCTGTTGCATTATCGTTTGCTGTAGTAGACGAAATACCCACATGTCAGAGTGCCATTCTTTTGAAGTCAGTGTCGGAAGAGATATGGGAAGGATGGTACACTTGAAAATTACTGTTAGGATAATTGTCACTAGTGAATTTGGGGTGTGTGTGTGACAGGTTGCTTAGAGATGGATGAGAATGGATGAGAGAGTGGGGCGGGGGAGCAGTAGGTAGGGGTGTTCTAGGAAAGAGAGCCACACAGGTGAGGGACAGATGAGGGAGGGTAATGTGACATTTCTGAGCCCCTGACAGTTCATGCCAGAGGCTGCTGTTCAGAACTGTTGCCTCCAGGCACACGGCTCCCATCTGGCGTGGAACTGGGCAGGAGAGCATAGGTTTCTTTCAGCCTTAGTTGTGGGGGTATTTGCAGCCTTGTATGTGACCCCCAAATAGACGTTGGACCCTGGACATGTTCCTTTTCCATTTGTGGGGTCCCTCACCATCTCCCTGATTTCTGAGCTCGATGGTCACCTGAAGGCTTTGCCAGCCTCCCCTCATGGAGCTGCCTTGGAGCCCTGGCCCTGTCTCATCCACCGCTCTTACTTCAAGGAGTTTATCATCCCTCTTGTAGGAGGTCTCCCCATGAATTAAAGCATTTACGTTTCCCCTTCTTTTTTCTTGTCCAGCCTCTGATTGTTTGATGGGCTTTCAGTAAGGACCTGCAGAAAACATTGTTTTCTTTTTCCCTTCTGCTGCTGGAGCTTGAAGTAATGAGCTCATCACCTGTCTTGAACATAGAAAGTAAGACTCCAGCAAGACTTGCATTGCCCGCTGCCTGCCCCTCATCTAGGTCTTCTGAGGCCAGGGACCATTTCTTTAGCAGTGTTACCACTGCAGAGGCAGCACATCTGTCTTGGGGTGTTTAAGCAGAATCACTCACCCCTTTAGCTCTTGGTGGTTTCCTGTTTGCCCCGTGCTCAAGGAAAGGGCCAAGATGTCCTGCATGATATCAGAAAGTGCAATGTGACGGTCATTTAAAAGCAGGGGGCCAATGCCGGTCTTTCGTAATTTTTCAAAATTGACCAGCATTGTACTTTGCAGTAGAACTCCAGTGACTGTAATGGACAGGACTTGACTGTAGCTGTCTCATAAAATGTGGTTGGTTTTGGCACTGTGTTGAATGAGAATAAATAAATCAAGGCAGCTTGTCAGATACTAGTCGTAAGTCAGAATGAGCTGTTTATAAGTCCCAGGATATTTGATAAAGATAACTTTTCCAGTGTTTGCATTTGATGTCAACACTTTAAAAATGTGCTTCAAGTGTGTGTTTGTGTGTGTGTGTGTGAGAGAGAGAGAGAGAGAGAGAGAGAGAGAGAGAAAGAGAGGGAGAGAGACTTGTGTAAATTGAACAGAATGTATTCTTGATCTATCAGAAACTTGAAATTTGGCCTTAAGGGACCATACTCAGAACCTTTTGTTCCATAGACACTGTTGCTATGTTTAAGACATACCATTTCTGTTGCTACATTCTGAACTCTGTTCTCCAGTCCTTACTCTTTCTGTAGTGACTTTGCCTTCTTAGGAAGGCTCAGTAGAGTCATATCATGAATACTTGAAGAATGCATCGGTCTCTGAGTTCGGTTTGAAGTCCTTGCGTGATAGGGGACTTCTGTTTTGTCACAGAGCAGCCTGGGCTGCTGTTTGTTTCCCCAGTTCATGATAGTGTAGGCCACAGAGTGCCCAGTGCATCCATCTGGTACAGCTTAAGGGCATGGGTCAGAATTAAGGAAAATTCCTAAGGCATGAAATGAGCCTTAATTCTTCCCGTTGTTGCTTTTAGGACTTCGGAAGATGCAGTTGAAAGAGCATCCCGAGGCTGAACAAAACGAAACAAATGAAACCAAAAACCCAATCTTAGTCTCATGTTAGTTGGGATTTAGGGAGAAAAACTGTACCTAGCTAGCACGCTGTGCTACAGTGGGTTAAGCTGAGGCATCAGTCACTGGTACAAACTAGTGATCTCTAAAATCTCTTTTGGTCTCAGTTTTCCTTTTTTGGCAGTGAATTGCTGAACTTTCTGCTCTCCAAGATTTGGCTCCCTGCCAGTTCACGTGTGCATATATGATTTTCCTATTCCAAAGCTGATGTCACCTGTGCCATCTATACTTTTAGTGATAATTTCTTCCTTGAGGATAGAAACATCTCCTTTTCATTTCTTTGCAAAATGATGCTTGGTAGTTTACACAGTCAGACTGTTACTGGGGTTGAATACTAGGGAAAAAAAACCCACTATCTACTGCTGGATTGTTTTCTCTGGAAGGTTCTGTTCACTGTGTAGCAGCGGTTTGAGCCCAAGAGCTGTGATGAATCTGCCAGTGAGACATTCCTCATGCTTTTGTTATCTGTTTGCATTTTAGGACAACAGTAGTAGCAGCAGCTGCCTTCTTGGACGCCTTTCAGAAAGTGGCTGACATGGCCACCAACACACGTGGTGAGCAGATGGAAGGCTGCCTTCCAGCACTGACTGAATCCTGCACATGGGCCCTCCCCCTGGGTGGTTTCTTGAGAAGATATGGCTTTAGTTATCAGAGCCTGGCTGACTCATAGTTTTCATGTATTTTTAACTCTGTGGGGTTTCACATATTAGAATTTGTAACTAGTTCTCCAGATAGGGAAGCACATGGGAAGACTAGGCAAGAAAGGAAGGGAGTCCCTGTTCTTGATGAGGTGTCCTGCTGTGGGCATGGTTACTGGAGTTACTTCTCCGTACAGAGCCTCGAGCGGCACCTGTGGTCATGCTGTGTCCCCTCCAGCACTCCTTGCCCTATGCTCCTCCATGTTCCCTTGTGGAATGTGAAGTCCTAGAGATGATTACATAGCTACTGTCTGGGTTCTCATCAAACGAGGAATCCTTTTACTACAGGCAGAGCGCCCCGGGTGCCAGTTCCATCTCTGTGTCCCTAGTCTTTGGCTGCTGAGCCCACAACAAGAGACTGATGTAGTCCTGATAGTACCCCACAAGACAGAGCGTCCAGAGCCCAATTCATATTTCAAATATGTTTTTGAAAGCAGTGATCAGAAGGTGAAATCTTTTGAAAAGATTTAATGGTTTCAGAGGGAGGATAACATGTGAGAGGCACCAGGAGAAAGTGGGTACTTTTAGGTCTACCTTCAGGCAAGGGTGTTCCCCCTCTCGGTTTCCTGTAGCCACTCTCTTGTGCCTCTTCCTTGCCTGGTCATTCTGGGCTCCATCATTGCATGCGTGGCTGAGTATCTGCTCTCTCACTGTCCTGGTGGCATTGGGAACTTTGGGTATTTACAGTGATGGCAGGGGTTGTTCCCAGTAGCTTCAGTAGCCCATAGCCATCCACTGTAGGCAACTAATTAAATATTCAAACAGATTGAAATTCCAGCTTTGTTTATTTCAGGACTGTCATGAGACCATAAGAATCAGTGTTTCCCCCTTGTCCCTAAAGAGCACACAGTTTGAATTGAGTAGGGACACTGAGACGTGTAAATAAAGAATGCCAGCGCAGAAATAGTATGTGTGGTACGGTAATAGCTGAAGCACAGAGTGCCAGGGGAATATAGGAAAGTGAGCAATTAACCCAGTTCAGGGAATCAGGGACTTGGTCCCAGGGGAGGTAGCATTTTTCCTGCTCTCTGGGATGCCAGCAGTATTGCAGAAGTTTTCACGGAAATATGACAGTGACATCAGCATTGAACCCCCTTTATCTGGTCTGTCTGTGTGGTGGTGGTGGTGGGGTCATAACCTAGATACATTTCAAATGCGTTTGAAATGATTACCTAACTTACATGTACCTGTTGCAGAAACTTGGGGAACTTTGACTCTAAAGAACTTAACATGAGAACCATTATTGGCTGCTGTGGCGTGTGACTATCCATCCACGCTGTATTTCCTTCTCACCTCAGCCAGATCTGGACTTGTCAGCCACTGTGATATCTTTCCATAGCTGTCAGTCATACATACTTTATTTGCTTTGTGTGTGTTTGCTATGGTGTGTGTGGGAGCGGTCAGAAGACAGCTTGCAAGGTTGGTTCTCTGTTTCTAGCCTGTGGGTTCAGGCTCAAACTCAGATCTTCATTCTTGGGAGCAGGTGAGCCCTCTTTTCTTTTCTTTTTTGTTGAGACTCTGTCTTCTGTAACCAAGGACTGCTCTTGAGCCTGTTTTGTAGCTGAGCGTGACCTGCTTCCACCTTCTGGGTGCTGGTATTACAGGTGTGAGCCATCCTGCCCAGCAACGGATTGCATTCCTGAGGCTGTAGGATCTAGAATATGTTTGTAGATTTTACTAAAATCTAAATTTATTGGGTGGATCATAAAAGAGCGACTGGAAGGGTGACCCTGATTGTTTGTGATTTCCTGTGGTAAGAACCTGAGTTTTTGAAGAGGCTGCTTTCAGGGTGCTTCTTGGTGGGATATTGGAGGGCCTGGAAATTCTCAGGCTTCCAGGGGAGGGAAAATAGCAATTGTTTTTTTTTTTTTTTTTGGAAAAGAAACAGGAAGAGGTTCTTTGTGGAGGTAATGGGTTAGAGCCTGGGCTTTGGGGACGATGTCTGTGGCTGCAGGCTTGTATGTCACTGTGAACAGACTCCTGTGTGACATAGCTCTAAGCCATTTGTTTTCAGGTCACTGTGGCAGCACAGTTTGTTTAGAATTCAAATGCACAGTTACTTTCTTCCATTGGACATGGGAACTTGTATGCCTTAAAGAATGTGTGTCTGACAGGAGCCGTTTCCATGGTGATAAGAAACTTGGAAGTAGTTCATATGTCAGCAGTTTAATTTTTAGGTTGTTTTTTTTTTTTTGTTTTTTTTGTTTTGTTTTTTGTTTTTGTTTTTTTTTAAAGGGAAACTTAACAAACTCTTTACAGGAAAAAAAAAATTAAAAACCACATTTAGCGTCTCCCCTCGTGGAGATTAGGTTTAGCGTCCTTTACCAATATTTTTTTATCCCTCCCCAGGAAAAATTAAAAAAAGGCTAGCTTCATATCCACATGTATGTGGTTCTGTGTGAGCTTTCTCAGATGTCTGCTTCCAGAAAACATGCGTTGATCCCATGCTTTTACTCCATACTATGGTACCCTTGCCGTTCCTTGCAGTACCTGTAGATCCAGCTTGTTCTTCCTAGTAGACAAATGGAATTCTAGTGCCAGGATAGAGCAAGTTCTAATTATTATACTGTTGCTGGCTTTGTGTCTCCCCAAGTTATTTGCTGTTACAGGGTATGCTGCAGTGAATGCCCGTATCTCTGTGGATGTCTGTTTTGTGTGTGTGTGGAGTGTATGTATTTGTGTGTGTGTGTGTGTGTGTGTGTGTGTGTGTGTGTGTGTATGCGTGCGTGTGCTCTCTCGTGCACGGGTGCACAGGTATGTGTGGAAGCCACAGGTTGATGCTGGGTGTTTTCCTTCATTGCTCTCCGTCTTATTTTTGTGCGTGTGTAGTAAGTGTGGACACATTCCTGTGTGTAGGTGTGTCTCTGGGTGTACAGACGCATGAGGGTCAGAGGTCGGCCACGTGTCTCACCCCTCTGCACCTTATTTCTTGAGGATCTCTCGCTGACCCTGGATCCCATCATTTCAGCCTGGCCGTCTTCGCCTGTGCTCCAGCTCTGGATTACAGGTGCCCGCCGCTGTACTCGGCTTGAATGTGGTTGCTGGTTATCCAGACTCGGGTCTTCATGGTTGTGCAGCGGCACCGCCTCTCCAGCCGGGCGACCTCTTCTTAGTAGTACCTGTGTCACCAAGGAGAGGATGAATCAGTAGAAGGCTGTTCACGTGTTTCAGTGCTATTCACTCGGCCAAAAGAGTATCCTGGCCTAGTTTTTTTTTTGTTTGTTTGTTTGTTTTTGCTTGAAGGCTTTAGATGTTGTATTTTAGAATTTCCCTAGTTAGAAATTGGTAAAAGAGAATTACTACTGCTCCCCTCCCATCTTGTTTTCCTCTCTGTCCTTCCTTCCTCTCTCCTTCTCTACCCTCTTCTCTTCCCTCCCTCCTCCATGTCTTTCCCTTCTTCCCTCCGTTCCTCCTCTTTAGGTTTTTGAGGTGTAGAGTCTATGCTACTTGCTGCAGCCATACTGTGCAGTAGCACGGCAGAGCGCTGTATTCCTGTCCATCTTAGAACCATTAGCCTTTTCCCATCTTCCTTCCTTGCTACCTCCCCAGCCTCCGATAATCCCCATTCTATGTTCAGTTTCTCCAAGACCAACCGTTTAGAGTCCACAGGAGTATGATCACCTGATGCTTCTGTTCCTGATGAGTTCATTGTGGGTGATTTTCATTTCCCTCCATATTGTGTTTAGTGTTCCCTTTTATAGTAGATAGCGCCCCCACTGAATGTCTATACCGTATTTCTTATGTGTCAGGTGACGGTCTCCATTTCTTGGTTGTTGAAAACAGTAGTGCTATAAACAGTTGCAGATGTGCCTTCCTCCCCTCTAATTGTGTCATTTCCTTCCCTTTAATTCCTTTCCTTGCTAGATCATGTGCTAGCTATGTGTTCAATTTTTTCAGGGTCCTCCAAGTGACTGTACTAATTTAAGTTCCTACATATTCAGAAAGAGTTCTCTTTCCCCATATCTCTGTCAGCACTTTTTTTTTTTTTTTTTTGTCTGCCTGTCTGCCTGTCCGCCTCTCTTTCTTTTTTTTAGGGGTTTTTAAGACACGGTTTCATTTTGTAGCCCGGGGTGACCTAAAAACTCTCACTGTAGATCAGGCTGGCCTCGAACTCAGATCCTCTTGTTTCTGCCTCCCGAGTGCTGGGATTTGCAGTGTGTGCCACCACCACTTGGCTTGTCCTTTGTGTTTTTAGTAGTGGCCATTTCACTGAGCTGAGCCATGGTGTGTCCTTGTCATAGTCTGCATTTCCAGGGAGCATCTCTGTGGTTATCCAGACATTAACTGTAAAAGGACTTCTCTACTTGGCTAGTGTTCAGAATTTCAAGATCATTTTAACTAGGTTTCTGGATCTAAAATAATAACATTTTGTGTTATTTTCCAAAAGAAACAGCTCTGAAAGATTTTTTTTGTCATTTTCACAAAATCTTTAGCATGAGTTATTAGCAAAATATACTTAAGAAAAATTTTTTACAGGTGGTTACTATGATAAACCCCATCTATTCATAATACATGCATCTTTTATAGAATATTAAAATCTGAACTTTATTTTGATCTTGTTTTTCTAAATAAACTCGTATAACTTGGCTATTTTCATGTATATATTGAATAATAATGAAATGATAATGGAATTTGACTTCATGTGAACTAGGCACAATTCTATATGTTTAGTTTATACTCTGGAATTAACATCTCATTTATGTAAAATAAGAAAACATACTCTTTTCTCTAGATTCACTGGCCACAAAGAATTTAGTTTGTAGGCATTAACTACACATCCCATCTCAGAGTTTATGGCTCTCTAGAGTTGAGAAGTGTTTGAGTCGGTGGGCATGTATTTGTCTCGGTCAGTTGCT